ACACCAAGGGAATTGCAGATGCGTTGCCGGCCTTTTAAAAAGGAATAGGCTCTTATTGAAGGTCCCTAAGTCGTATTGGTCCGGAAAAATCTCTGGTGGTAGTTGATTCCACAAGGAAGTTGTGCTAGGAAGAGAAGTTCTTTTAAATCGCACAGTGGTGGACCGCCAGTCATCAATCATTCATGGTATAGCGTTTTGTCGCGATGTGCGATGGTGAAATTGTGCGGCTGGAATCAGTCCGAACAATTCCTCAAAGCACTTCCCGTGGTAGATGCGATAAAATAAGCAAAGAGATGCAACATCTCTTCGCAGTGCAAGTGAATCAAGCAGATCGGAAAGAGTTAAAGTTGATGCACAGCTTTTTAAAATGCGTTTGCTAAGCAACTTAAGCTTACGGCATCAAAAGATTATTCAGGGTATATTATTTGCAGAAACAACGATCATACTCGCATTAAATGAATGTAAGAAAAATTTAATAATCTTTCAGGATAAAAAATCTAGGATGTAATGTAATGATTTACACAAAATGTTTGGATTAGTAATTTTTTATCAAAAGCCACCTGTGCCTGCTTTGGTTTTTATAATAGCTTTAACTTAGATATATTTTTTTTGTTTTTTGCCTTAGGTTCGTTCTATAAGCAGAAACTGACTTTTTTATTTTCTGTGCTTTATTCTCTATTCTACATCTAAATTGATAATCAAGATTAACTTACTAATCTATTAATTAATCTAATTTCCCCTATTAAATTTATAGAAGGTGGAGCTGTTATATTAGAAGATATTAATAAAAATCATCATAAACTTATTGATGGTATAAAATTTATTATACCTTTATTTATAAATAATCTAAGACTATGTAAACGTTCATAATTAATATTTGCTAAACGAAATATACCAGATGAACACAATCCATGACGAATTATCATAATACGAGAACCTTAATAATCTCAATAGCTTATTGTTATTATAATTCCCCCAATTACTAATCTTATTTCTTAGCATTGGGGTGGCACAGATAAATCTATAAATAAATCACGAAATGGACGTCTGCGTAGATATGATATATAATATAATTTGTTTCTCTAAAACTTCTGTAACGATTTGGATGAAATTTATGCTTCAATAATGTTTCACTTTCCAACTTTATCTAGAAGTTAGGTGGAAGAAACTACAGGACGCCGAGTGACGTTTATTCGCCCAGGTACTAACATTATAAGGGAAAGGATTGTCGATTATAAAAACATCCTTTAATTCAAATACAACATCAAATCACATTATATTTTTCTATAATATTAAATACATAATAGATTTCTCTTTATATATGTTTTATGCTCTTAATTACTATTCAATATGTAGTGAACTTACATAATGCCCATAAAATAATTATATACTTGTTCATAAATTCTATTTCATGGCGAATAAGGTTTAGAAAAGCATAGTTACGCTGTTATAAAATATAATTTACTTAAAATTTATGAAAATAGATTATTTGAGTCAGCTTTGTTACTCTGGCTCATTTTAAGATTTTATTTTTTATAAGAATTATTTATTAGCTACATATTTCATTGTATTTTGATTGTATATTAATTTCCAAATTCAAGTACCACATTAAATGACATATAGTTTATGCTTAGGTTATATAAATGTTACGTCACATTGGAATTATCAAACGAACTTAATCTAGCTGGGATAAATTAAATTCGTTCGATACTTTGTAAGCGTTTTAGTATCATTATTTATCAATATCAAAGAAATTTCTCTCGAATGAACGTTTCATATCTGAATAGTTCACATTACATATTTCGCAATTTAGGCGATATGAAAAATAGTATTTTGTTTTAATAACAGAAGAAAATAAAATAATATTTTGTAATAATCAAATATTATTCTTATTTTGTCGGCATTATCTTAAAATATAAAATAAAAACATGAAAAAATCTATTTATACATAAATCTTGTTCAGCTTCTATCTCTAAAATACAAAACATAGGCAATCATTGGTTCTCTCGTTTCGGGTGTTTTGTAATGTGATATGTTTTCTAAATAGATATATGTAATAAACAAAGTGAAGAAGAAAAAAATTCATACAAAATTGCAAATTAGCGGTATTACAAACGAACGGCACTTTGTTAAAGATAAAAAAAGGGCAACTTCTACTGCGCGGCGGCTACAATTGACGTGTTTGCGACTGCCGACGACAACAGCGTCAACGTTTTAACTTTAGTACTGGAGCAGGGTCAAGATACATTTTGAAAAAAAAAAAAACTATATTGTTATGACTGTCGATGCAGGCGTAAAGGCAAAAATGTTGGTTGTCGGGTAATAGAATATTAACAAGGTACATACATATTATCATATTAAATAACTGACTTTCAATTCTTTACCAACGTTAACACAGATATGATAAAAAAGTTTTTAATTAATTTATAAAGTCCTTCGACTGCCCCTGGAACATTTGCAGTCAACTTAAAATGTAGCGCACAATATGACACATCAGTACTGCAAGAGCTACTGTATTGGTCGGCAGTAACCGTAGACGTGTACAACTCGCGGAACGAAAGTCTAGCGGTGACCGTTATTGCGCATAATTGGCCGTATTGCGCATTATTGCGTATGAATGGCTGTGCGTATCGTTCGCACGCGCTGATTGGCTCTCCAGTCACATTATTTCTCCCGTACTGATACGCAATTGGCAGCTACCCTCTCAACGTTTCGTTCAGCGCTAGAGTTACGGGCCACGAGTTGTAACTAGTCGTCAATTGTTATCGTCGCTTTTGGTCGCTAGATGGCTGTAGTTATCCAGCCGTCGTATTGTTCGTCTATACGCATTCTAAGGTAAATAACTTGTGTGGTAAATAGTTGTATATATATAGACTATTGGTGTCAAGTAAAAAAATGACTAGATTTCTTTGGAATGATCAAAGTAGATAATTACCCGTATTATCCAGTATAAAAGATTTTAAGAATACTGCTTGAAGTTAGCGCATTTATGCTTAAAAATATTATTATAACAATGAAACGTTCAAATCATGAATAGAAGATGACAAGCAATTAATGAAATACATTTTGAAAGTATTATACAATGCAAGAATAAGATAATTATATTTTTAAATCTTTGTCTCGATTTGGAACTAGGTTTTCATAGAGGAGCATGAATTAAATGTTAATAAAGTTTCATTCAAACACCTACACAAATCCTTCAGTTAAAATAGATACAATAAACAGAATATAATTTAATCAGGATTATTAACGCTTTTGTTAAAATCATGTAATTAATTAATTTGCGCGAACCTTTTGTTAATTAATCTAGCTAATAATTATTTTCAAGTAGCAACATATAGAATAATTTTAATTTAATCAGAACGCTTTCATTAGTATTTTACAATTATCATTTAAAATAATGTAAACATGAAATAGTGTAAACAACGAAAATTTGTACTTGCAAAGATACCTATGTGAGAACTTCTATGAAGGTATGTTTTCTGTAGTATGATTAATTCTGCTATAAGAGAGGAAACTATGTCATAATATTTTAAGTATTCAGATGAGGTAACTAGAAATAAGTCAGCTGTTTGGTTTATGTTTGTAATTAACATATCTTGGTGGCAAGTTCATTTTGGTGGAATTCAATTTATTTTTTTACATTTCGTAAGTCAGTGCTTGACTTCAGTCTCACCTGGTCGTATCGCACTGCCTTAGTGTAACAATAGCACTTCTGGATTTGAAAACATCCAGACTGTAAACACGCGAAACGACGAAGTACGTATTACGAAAGACCGTACTTTCAACGTTTACCTTAACGACAACAAAGGGAACGAAAAGAAGATAAAAAAAATTTAAAAAAAGAAATAGAATAGTTTGTATTTTTTTTTTTATAAAAAAACAAACAAGAAAACAACCACCCAAAATGTGCGTAACAATTACCTTGAAAAAAAGAGCAACCCGGGGGAAACTCCACAGTAGCATTAAGCTGCTATTTTACGTTGGTATTCTGTGAGAGCGTGATCTTTCTACGAGCAAGCCGACCAATACGTGTTACAACTATAAAAGTGCTGTAGCATGTCTTTACCACGTTTAGGATTACCAATAAAAAATTTCATAAATTTCTATATATTAAAATTTTATTACTGAGTATTCCTAAACAAAAGTTTATCAGTTGTATTACGGTCATTCTTCAAAGAGAAAAAGCATGGAATCTAAAATAAAAATATTCTAAGACCATTTAAATATATTACTATAATATTTTTAAATAAACTACTGATAATACTGATTGTTATATATTTAAAAAAAATACCGTCCACATCCACTAGAGCCGTGGTAGCTCGGATGGTTAGTGCTCGCTGTATATTTTACAATACGCGAGCAACCCAGGTTCGATCCCCGCCGGCACCAATGAAATTGTTAATTGCAATTTTAAGTGCTGATTTACCACGTGCTCGGCGGTAATGGAAAACATTGTTAGGAAACCTGCATGTCAGAGAAATAAGAAAAAAATATTTCGAAGACATGTGGAGTTCGCAAACACGCATTGGGGCAGCGCGGCGGACAATTCCTTGCCCTAAAACCCTCTCAGAAATGAGCGGAGGCCTATGCCCAGGAGTGGGACGTATATAGGCTGTAACTTTACTTTACTTTACCGTCAACATTAGAAATTTCCTTATCAACAAACGATTTACGATAAATTATACATGGATAAATAACCAGATTCTAAGCAATTATTTACAGGCTTTACAAATACTTGTTTCAAGAACCAAACTTGTAGCCTGCAACGCCGCAGCTAAACACTTAGCTACAGCCCCACCGAGCCGTGAAAATAAGTTGTAAAATCTTATATAAAAATGATTCATGCACGTCTCCAGTATGTGATTGTTCTTACTTATTTCTAGTTCCTCACTGTTAATAAATTAGCAAAGAGAGTTATAGCAATAAATTAGATATTAGATTTATCTGTCACACATTATTATATTTGAAAAATAAATAAATTAGTTAGGTTATAGAATCTATTTGCTAAGGGCGTTGTCTTCATGAGCTTTCTTCACCACAGCGAGTTTCGAGTTGGGATCTTGTGCCTGAAGCTGGGCGTAGGGAGGGGCGCGCGTACCATGAAGTACTAGCGACCAGCCACGCAGCCAACCGGATGCTGAACTTGGACCCGATCCACCATTGAACCTTGCCTAAAATTAGAATTAAAACGTATTTTTTTAAGAATTAGAGGTACTAGAGCGTGGTCCATTCAGGTAGTATTGGGAAATAATTTAAAGCCCTGATAAAATATAGAAAGAAAAGTAAGGCAGGTTATGCCTTGTAATCTTTGATTATTAAGAATATATTGGTAACGGCAAAAACTTTGGAAAAGGTATAAGACAAGGCTGACGACTAAGATGAGCAGAGGTCTTTCGAACCACCCTCCCCCGCGCCCTCGGCATTGATTACCTACTTACCTACACTAAATGTAGTTCAAAATCTGAGCCTGCGTACATTAATTAGCACGTGCATGTATATTACTTCATTCGCGCCGCGGTTCCATAAAAACTGTAACTAGAGTCTATAATAATTGATGCAATTTTTTTCTATTTTTAATCCAATCACATTATGTCGTCTTTATTACTTGCGGTTACCAGCTTACAAAGGCTTTTATAAACATCTACTAATGTGACATTATGCTTAGTTTTAAAAATTATTGAATTCATGATAATTCTTTTTAAAAAATTAAGCGATATTATATTTCAATATATTAATATAAAAGTAATGGAAATAAAATTACCTCCAATGTCCAAGTGCCTTGAGGATATTCACCCCATGTGTGCGTTGTCATGAAGGGCCATTTGGTGAAGCCGTCCCTGGAATCGTCATCGTTGGCGCGCCTACTCAGGATCATTGACCTATGTGGACACTTTATTTAAGCATACAGAAAAAAAAACATTAAGTGACGAGGTGTGTTCATCAAAAATACCATAAATTAATAAAGAAAATAACTAAATAAAAATTAAACGTTTGTCCAACAATACTAGAAACTTTTTTTTGTCCCAAATTTCATTAATGTTAATATCTAATCTAGAGCTCGGCCAAAAGCAATAGCCGGAGCAAGGTCTGTTACTTTTATCACATGGAAGAGTTAAGTCACGATTTCCGCATGCAACACTTAGAATTTAAAACACCTCTTTGAAGAGTCTATACACGTACACTAGAATTTCTCCTGTATCACTAAGTAGTTTTACGTACATAAATAGCATAAGAGTAAACGTGCAGCCAAAGAATATAGAGGAGGTACTTTTCAAAACTTGACTATTCCATTTTCGCCCAAAGTAGATTTTTTTAATTTTTTTAGGTTGATTACATTGAAATGTATATGCATCGAAAACAAAATCCTGACAAAACGTGATAGATCAACTAGAAAAATATATTTAAAAACGCATGATTTCGACAAAAGTAGATTATTCCTAAAAAAAAGAAGGTTAAAAATAAGGATTTAAGAAATTGCAACAAAACATGATTAATCCAGAAGAAATTTTTTTTTATCACTGGAAATTGTAACAAAACATGTTTTTTCCTCATATTTTTGAGGTAGTTGTTTTTATCTTCCAAATATTTTTGTCTGTCGCGGTCAGTTGCAGTTTATAAAACTTTTATGCGTTGCGAATTGTGTTTTCGACATTTCGAGGATCAAAATTATTTTGAGAAATGCAGTCTCAAACAACAGTACAAGATATAAATACAGGTTCAAGAAGTAGAAAGCGCGGACGAGAAAATCGAAAGAAGTAAGTTTTTGTGTCTTAAACCTAGCTACAAATCTATTGTCTTAAAACTTCTGCGTTTATGAGTTAATTCAATGTAATTTTTTATTAACGTGGTCTATATTTTTGCTTCAGGGACTATTCGGACTGTGACCCATGTGCACTTGCATTTGAAAAGCCTTGTAATCATAGCGAAAACAGCAAATTTCATTACAATAAATTCGTAAGAAGAGATATTTTCAAAAATCGTAAGGCATTGTACAAAAACCAGTCCAAAGTGGATCAGGATGCTTATTTGTCGATATTAATTTCGGTATATAAACCTGTTCGTCGTCGCAACAGTAAAACAAATCCCACGAAGCCCAGACCTAAGCAAAAATCAGCCACTATTTTATATTTTTTAGAAAAGCACTTGAATTTAAAAAAAGAAAAATAATGTAAAAAACCTGCTTGTGAAACAATTTGGTGAAAACTGGGCAGAAAACCAATGCAATAATCCCGAAAATGATAAAGAAGATGCTTGTGATAATGATGAAAATTGTGATTGCCTTGAATATGAAACGGCTGTTAAAATTTAAGTATATTTAAATAAAAAAAATTCTTTAATTATATTAGTTTTATTTATTTTATTACAAGATGAAAATGAGGTTAGTCAATTTTGTTTAAATGATAAAGTTATTAAATAATATTACATATAATATTAGAATGATATATAAATAAAGATGATAATATAAATAAGTAAATAAATATAAATAAAGAAGATAAATAAATAAAGAATTTTATTAAGTAAAACACCATTTTAAATTAATTTCAACAAAATAAGATTAATCCCCAATGGTTTGAATCAAAACTAGATTATTCCTTTAAAGCACATAACAAAACTTGATTATTCCAATCAGCCTAGTCAAAACTTGATTATTCCATTTTAAAATTCTAGATTTATTCTATATTATGTTACTGCAAAAAAATTTGAGAGTCATACAAAATAATCACTATTTTTGTTGTATATTATAATTCATCAACATTTTATATTAAACACATAACTGCTCTTAAAATTATATTTCTTTAAATTATACAAAAACACAAAAAAGTGGAATAGTCAAGTTTTGAAAAGTACCTCCTCTATAATACTTAGGGTACTAATTCAATTCCAAAAAGAGAACTAATTGTCTTAGTCATTTAGACGGTTTTCTTAAAAACATAACATAGGGTTTCATCTTTAAATTAAAAAATATGATAATATTACTGACTTTGCGCTCAATTAAAATGGTTGCTTGTCCATGCTTGTCCAACACCGTAATTCTTTAAAGATTCGTTCTCCATTTTGCTAAAACTAAATTCTTTCAAAAAGAAATTTAACTCGTGATGCATAATGTGATCTACTTCATTCCAGTGATACTGAATCTTTCTTTTATAGTTAAATATATACTTAAATAAAAAGGTGCACCGCTGTATCAGCTAGGGTTCGCATTTAAAGTTTGTAGCACCTAGTTAGTTATCTTATTAGATAATCTACGTATCTTTGTCTGCTTGTCTCTCTGTCTATATCTCCGGGCTAATCTTCAGAATAACTGAACTGATAGTGATGAAACTTTACAAACACATGGAGAGCAATGCCAACTGTGATCTTAGCTAATCCGAAAAAAGTATAAATGATTAACTTATGTTTTATATGCTCATATTATGTAATACGTTTAACAATACCTAGTGCCCATGGGGCTGGTCAGGAAGAACTCGAGGTCACCGCGGCGGGTGGCGTTGGCGCTGACGACTGCCTGCACGTGCTCCAGGTAGCGCACCTCGCTGCCCGAGCCCGCGCACGCCGAAGTCTCGATACGCAACGTCACACTGCCCTCCGACGGAATCTCACTAATCATGGAAAAATGTCAAGTTTCTTTATATAAAACAATTCGTTTTCTTTTACCAGCCGTTTTGCAGTGAATGAAGTGCATGAGAGCCCCTTTTTAAAAACAAAATACCAGTTAAAACAATAAAAGTTTAAGTTTCTAATGAAAGCTGTACTTACATGTACCTTGTACGTAATAAAAGGTTCGTTACGTAGAACAAAATGTTCCTAATCTAATATATATATATGAATTGGGCATAAGTCAAAACAATGCCTCTTCAACAAATGATTTTTTATCAGCCTATTGGATATAAGTACTAGAAAGTATATTTTGTAAAAAATGGTACACTTTTACATGGAATATACCTACTGTACGTTTTAGGTAGGTGTCTACACATATATGAATATATATATATATATATATATATATATATATATATATATCAATAATCCTATAGAAGAGGGGGGCAAACGAGCATACGGTTCAACTGATGTTAAGTGACTACCGCCGCCCATGAACATCCGCAGCACCAGGGGAAATGCGGGTGCGTTGGCGGCCCTTTAGAAAGAAGTAAGCTCTTTTCTTGAAGGTCCCCAGGTCGTATCGGTCCGGAAAAATCGCCGGTGGTAAACTATTCCACAGAGAGGTTGTACGCGGTAGAAAACTCCTAGTGAAACGTACAGTGTTGGACCGCCAAGCATCCAGATGGTGTGGATGGTATCGGGAGGTTTGCCGCGTAGTGCGTTCATAAAATTTGGCAGCTGGAATTAATCCGAACGATTCCTCAGAGCACTCCCCGTGATAGATGCGATAAAATACGCAAAGAGATGCAACAGTTTCGACCAATAATAGTACTAATATTGATCGTACCATTGATCGAATCTCATGGGGGATTTAACCAAAGTTGCCACGCTTGTCTGGTGAATTAGCAGTTTTTAATTTTGAGTTGTTAGCAGGAAGATGCTGCTGCCTATTTCCTGTGTCAATTTCCCACTGTCGCCTCTTACGACACCCACGGGACGATATGGGGCAGTGGAAATTCTTGCACAGCCACTACACTGTTAACACCGCCACATCACGATTATTTTGTAAATCTTTATTAATTTCGTGGTATTTCTGGTAAATAATTATAATCTTACTTTTTTTTAATTAAAATTGATACTTACGTATGAGTATTAACAGAGCCTGCTTCGCAATGGTAGCGTGGCGGTACTGATCTCCAATTAGCGGCTAAAGCAGTCATTGCGCCTGCGTCAAGAACACCGAACCCAAACAAATGGTTGAATTCTAGTCCCACTCCATTCATTGTCCAATGGAAACGGCCCTAAAACAACAACTAAGTATATATAAAATGAAAGAACGAATAAATTCATGAAAATCTAAAATTTTATTTTGCGAAAAATCTTTTTGACGGATCTTATTTTAAGCCTAAGGAGATACAGTGTTATTTCCCTGAATTATTTGATTCAAAATTTCTCGTATTATCAACCTTTCACTTTTTGATAATATATTAGGCATTTCTTTCTTGAAAGAGTTGCTAATACTCATAACAACTAACCCAACGCTGGGACATGCCGGTTCTAAGTGCAATGCTAAAAAGTCTCGTACTGGTAGTGCTCCTCAAAATTACTAGTCGGTGTATATTGTCATTTTAATAGATTTATTAATCGGTCATCATAGCTTATTCCTCAAATAATAAGGTACGCTATCTGTAGGTGAGAATGGATATAAGAATAGAAACATTTGATTATGAAGGTAAATCAGTGCAAAAGTTTCGGCTTCACAATAAACTTCTTAGTCGTAAATAAGGAGAGTGTTTACAACATATATTCGGACCTTAAGATTTGTTGAAACAAAAGAGAGAAAATTATTTGGATCAAGGAGTTAAGATAAATTTTATCGACTTCTTCAAATACTAACCTGTCTAGCAGCTAATGGTATAATTATTCGAATATATCAAAGCCAAATTCCTACAGATAAGTTAATATCGGCAGATTCTTTAAAGTTGAGCCACTATTCGCGGTTCACCAAGGCCAGAAGTGGATATCTAAGTATACGTTTATTTTTTTATCACTTGTTGCAAGTACAGGAGATAAAATATTTAACGATAAATATGTATCTAATAACAAACTTTCAAAAGGGCTTTTGTTAACAGGTTAATATGTTCTTATGAACGATTTACTTTTTGATTGCCTACCTTTGCGTCATATAGTGAATTTCTCTTTGAAGTTAGAACCGTTAAATGTTGTATATCGCGCCACGTGAGACTTGGACTGAAACAACAGAAAAATTACATTAAGTTTTGTTAGAGAATTCAACAATATTTTTAAGATGATAGGCAAATTATTTAAAATAATAAATAATAATAAAATTCAATTAGTTGTAACTTTAATGATTACTTTTATATGCCATTATCTTTTTAGTAGTTAAAATTACAACTAATTGAATTGTAAATTATTTAAAATAATAAAATTCAATTAGTTGTAACTTTGATGATTACTTTTATATGCCATTATCTTTTTAGTAGTTAAAATTACAACTAATTGAATTGTAAATTATTTAAAATAATAAATAATAATAAAATTCAATTAGTTGTCACTTTAATGATTACTTTTATATGCCATTATCTTTTTAGTAGTTAAAATTACACGCGATAAAATCGATAAAAATTGTTTTTACATAAGTAACTTTATTTATATTTGTAAGATTGATAGTTGAGAATTAAAAAAATAATGTAGTATAATATTATACAATAGTCAATAATGGAACTGCATGGAATAATTATTTCTACATTTCTCGAGATTCATTTATTTATATAAACCTTCATAACCTACTGCATACGTAATTATATAACCTTTTCTGCTTACAATTACCTATGTAGTTAATGATGAGAAACTATAACATCAAAATGATTGGTGACGAGGCATTTAATTGGTGAATGTGATACGAGTTTTTTTGTCCGAAAACGGTGAGGATATATATTTAGAAATAAGAATTTAATATATATTTTAGGAATAGGATATTTATTGAGGATATTTATTTACGAATTGAGTAGATAAACTTTAAAAAAAAAAGAATATTAACAATGCTATATATAAACATTACTAATAATCCCCTTAACCACTCGTGGTAAACTTAAATTGCTTGTGTTACGAGTAGTTCACGCCAGTAGTCGAATGGTGAATTCGAACCCACGACCTTTTTGAGTTCGCCGTCCGCGCCCTGCCATTAGGCTACTGTCGCTTATAAACTGTTTACTTTGTTCGTTAATATTAATTGCTTTGTTTATTAGTTCGACAACCGCTGGATTCTGCAGTGTCAGTCACGCAGTGTTTTAAAAATAACTTTTGCTTCGAAGTTTACGAAGTGTTATTTGAGGGTTACTTTATCATTTAAAATATTAGCTCTTCATTACCCTTTATATCTCAATTTTTTTAATTCTGATGATCGCAGATCTATAATAAAAGGACTACACTATCAAGAGGACGTTTAAATAAAAATTTAATCTGCTAGTTAATTTATTTTATTTTTTCATGTAGAGAAACTTTTCTCACATTTAAGATGATTTAACTTAATCATCATGTTTGCGAGGTGGAATTCAAATTCTTTGATTGCAATTAATAGGTACAAATATTTTATTGTTAATTATGAGATGTGAATAAAAGTGCATTACTTCTCGAAGTTACAGATGTCTAGTGATTTTAAATCTGGTAAAAATATAAGCTATCTTTTCTAAACAGATGGCTCAAATGGGGAAATATTACGATTTATCAAAATATCATCTTCAAATAACAGCATTAAGCTGCTGCATTTTATGGTGATGTTGATAGCTGAATACCCTCTTTACTAGTAAAGAGGCATTTTATCTTAGCCCTCAGAGATGACAACGTATCTGAATCTTCATTCACCCGTGCGAAGCCTGGCTGATCGCTTGTAATAAATACATAAGGCTCCTGCGTTGCAAACCTAAATGTCATGGAGAGAACGATACATGATAACGATATAATTCGTTGGCCATTTTCAATATATGACGGTATTAACGTATCGGTAACGTCAGAGCAGACAATACCCAGACTGCACCAGATCCATGTGATGTGATCGTTTGTCACGATTATACAATAAAAAAATTGTAATGCCTGCAATTAACAGTTAAATGTTTATGTTTACTTCGCATGAAGTGCCAATGCGAACACGCCGGCCGCTTCTGGCGCTGCCGCTGAAGTACCGGAATGAGTCGCGGTGCATTTTCCGTATAAATCTGTGGTTGCTACGCCTGTGCTGGGATCCCGAGCGCCGTTGCTGAATGTGCTGGCGAGCGTAGACGAACAGGACTCGTCATAGTGGGCGTTCTGACCGTCGTTTATTGCACTGAAACATGAAATATTTTTCATAGATATTATTAGTTTTTTGCTTTCATTTATTACAGGAAATCAAAAGTTCGCTGCTGAACTGGGTCCTCCTCCAAAAATTGCCTCACATCTGAAGTTTCAACTCTTGGAAGGCGAGTCGGCCACGGCAGTTTAATATTGTTTTAAGGTTATCAGGACAATACATGACATCTTTGCGGATGCGTATTATCAACCAGAGTGTGCGTGATGTAAAAACGATTTATAGTTTTCCAAATAATTTGCTCGGATGGACGATTATGTCGACCTCAAAATGGAAGAATCGCACAGTAAGTGTAGCAAATTGAATTAACTCAAAAGAAATATGCACAATTTGTAAATATTGTTCCGGCTTTTAGTATTGGCAAAATGTATTTACTGAAAATCAATTGTCAACTGTAAAACTACCATATAATAGAAACAGTATTGCCAATTTAAAAATGAAAAACCTCTGAAAAACAGCCTTTGCTTACTAGTTTTATCATAGACATAAATACAACCATAGATAGAATGCTTCGATAGCTGTTTATAAAAGGATTTCCTGTTCTTTACACGCAACAAACTAAACATACAGATTGGCATTCTGTAAGAGCATTTCTCTTCCCCGGTAGAGCTGACCTATTCTTGCTGCAAGTATAATATAGCTGCAGCGTGGCTCTACCACGTTAAATGATTTCCATGAATACCTAATTACTATTTCGTGAAAAATATAGACAAGCTACTATGTTAACGAAAAAGCTCCAACTGTGCCTTGAAACTTTTGTTAAAACCTATGTGTTCGCAGAAGTTTTTTTTCATTATAATCGTACGTACTACGGCGTAAGCCTTATTTTGAGTTTATTTAATGAAGTAAACTTTGTCTTCATTATGACTAAAGTATTTTCTACATAGAATTTCCATAAACTATGCGGTTAGTTTATAACACTTAAACAAACTATTTTAATCTTAGATTTCAATATTAAGCGTTAAGCTTTTGAAAGTTTTACTTCTTCAGTCTTTAAAACTCATCTCAACATTAAAATAGTGTTTTAATTTAAAATTATATGATATAACAACGACTGGCTTACATGTAAAATGGATGTAGGTATAACGGTGGATTGTAAAACTTAAGATACTGATAAAAATTGTTATGAGTCCACATTATAACTATAAATAATATATAAATTAATATGAATATTTTGATAATTACGATGAAATAGTTTTAAAACTAGTAGACAATACAAAAATATTTTAAAATATAATATTTTAGTATAAACACTGTTGTAGTATAACAAAATTTGATTAAACAGTGTCATTAAAAACGTCTATATCGTTTACCACATTTTTAGTTGCTTTATTTAATGATAAGTTATATAGTTTAGTTTTTATCGCAGAAGAACTGTCATTATTATGTTCGGTTCATGAAGAATTTAATTATTTTAAGTTGTTTTTGTTGTAAAAAAGTGCCCTGTTAAGTTCTATTAACTGATTATTTAATTATTTTTAGTTATTTTAATGTAATAAACATATAGTTATGTTCTTTTGGTTTTATTCGCGCTATTTATTCAAACAAAAAAATGAGGTACGTCACTAAGATCGTATTTAGGACATTACCTTTGATATAACTATAAGTTTCAATGGGATTTGAAAACCGTCTGGAGCAGCCCAGGGGCCACGTGGCTCACATTCATACATGTTTTGTTTAATAACTGCAATCTGTGGCTTATGAGACCCGTTTACATTGAACCTCTTGCGCGGCTCACTGGTGACTCACGTGGCCCGAATGGAACAACTAGGTAAGACTTATCGGTGACCCCCGTAGCCCGAACGGAAAGTGTCGATTTTTTTCGAGGCGTTCAACGTGTCTAAGACGGGGTGGGACAATGCTGTTGGCTGCTTTGATATAAGTGGATTAGAAGAGCGACCTTTCTACCTTGTAGGTAGCCTAATTTACCAATAACGTCAGTTTCTAAGTAAATTACTACTTTTCTAAATAAAAGAGTCGCCATTTACGGGACGAAATGCATTGATGCATTCTGTGACATTTACGACGGATGACATAAGCCGCATGTCGATACGAGAGCGATAACATCGAATACATTTCCGATATTTGTATATTCTCGCGCTTACCAGCTGAGGACAGAAGTCCCTGCCTTATCGTAAGCAGGACAACCATATCACAACATTGATTAAGGTTGCTGGCAATTTTTTAACAATTTTCGGAGTATATTTCGCTTTACACAGTCCTTGAAACGCACGAGATGTCTCCAACCCTTATGTTTAATAAATTTAAAATACCTGTTTATGGAAACTGTCCACATGGACGCTGCGTAGCCATCACAGTTGCAGTCGTCATCCTCGCCACCATCACCACTGGCCCAAACGTAGATATTACCAAGACCATTGCGACCCTGATTCAAAGAAAATAAAAAAATATAAGTATTTCATTCAATCAAATTTACTTGTTTAAATATGCTAAATTTCATTCTGACGCTTAATTGTTGGTAAATTAAGCAATTAGGACCTGAGCTTATAGACGGCACGGCATGATACGGCGTGGCAAGGCACACTTCGGTATGCCGAAGGATCCTGTGGCATCCCGCGGTATGCCGAACAAGTCAGGACGCGCTCGAGTACCGGGCACTCGCGCAAGTTGCTGAAATTGCCGCAACGGGCTAAATTCCAACTTGTGTCAATTACTTAGCAGTCACATTACTTTAACAATATGAAGTAACTTATGCGTTTTACGTGATGCAGAGGCGTGTTGCCGCGGTATGTCGCGGTGCCACGCGAGTCGTTTCGGTCTATTCGTGTTGAAATTAAGGAATTTCAGTGCTAATGTCTTTGAAATAAAGTTGATAATATTTTGTCCATGAAAAAATCCCTTGACACACCGTGCCATGCCGTGCCGCCTGTGAGCGCAGGCCCTTAACACTTTCACTGTCCGGTTTTCAGACACAATTGTAAGACAATAGACTTATACTCGTACGTAGCGCACGGTACAGCGAAAGGCTTAAGGAGGATATCACGAGAGAAAAAATTAGATACTGAATATTATGTTTATCCTAATACTTTAAGAGTGCAATTCTTGTATCTATATTTGTATATATGTAATTGGTTTCTCGGTAACGGCTCTAAGGATATGAAAGCATAAAACAATTTTGTATTTAGATAATGTTTTACTTTTCAAGTTTATGCCATAGCGCAGTAATCCTGATACTTAGTAAAATATATTAATTTGCTGCTATATCCATTTATCACGCGTTACAATAATTGCAATATACATATTTCTATTTCTATTTATTTATTTTATTTATTTTTATTTTTTAAGTTGACTAGTGGTATCGACAGCTGGCAACTAAAAGTACGTTGTAAGTGAGTTTTTCCGTCCTGAGATAGATTGTGTATGCGAATTTTTTTATAAAGATTTTTGGCTTGGATGCTTGTTTTTTAAGCCATGTCTTCATTTCATTCGGTATCTCGTTTAAAGTGTAAGCGAGCTACGCTTCAACCACAGGATATATCACAGTGTTGCTACGGGACGTCGTGTTTTTGCGCTGCTGTTCAATAATAAATTAAAAAAATAGAACTCATAATACGAAGAAGCGCCGTATGCGCACCGTAACGTAGTGGAAAATCGTTTTCTTGGGAGCCTCTGGGGATAGAATTGAAATAAATCACATAAAGATAAGTCGTGTAGTGGCAGCGTAAGAGAATTCACATCCCCATGTCACATATGTGTCATAAGAGGTGACAGTGTGTAACGAAACAGAAAATGGCATCAACAACTTCTTGATAACAACTCAAAATAATAAAAGAATTAGGGTTGCCAACTCGTATGCCAACCGCGTGGTAATTATGGCAAATTTAGCCCTTAAGAAAAAATCTATGGGGAGGGTTATTTTCAGTAGTGGACTTTTGAGAGGTTGTAATGATGTGGACATGGTTTACTGAATGACCCCTCTTCACCTTAAGAGTCCGGTTGAATACTTGCTTAGGATAGGCGTACTTCACTTAATTATTTCTACCGTCAAGTAGCTAGAGCCTTTTGAGACATTCCATCTTAGTCTCCAAGGTTGATAGAATAGTTGATTGTTGTGGTCCATAGACTGGACTATTTATGATCAGGTAGACTGTGTGCTATTTTGTTATCCTAATATTAAGTATATTGTAAAAAATATAGCAATAAAATAGCAAATAATAAGCATAACAAGAGGTCAGCTTCGCGCGCCATTTTGTGATAATTCAAATACCTAGCAAACTTTTTAAATGATGCCAGAAAAATTTGAAAAATCAGAATAAGCTCTTGCTGAACCATGTTGTTTAAAATAAAACGTAGGCGTACTAATAAAATATAACTAACACACGCTTGTTAATAGTAGGGATAAGTTCATAGAGTATAAAATACTTTTATCAAAGCCTTGAGCTTGAGCCAAATTCCAGGCGAGTTTGAAACAATCCCTCAACATAATATAGGTACATAATACCCTTTGTTTCATCCAAATTTATATATATATTGTTCACACTCACCCGCGCAACTCACTTCATATCTGTTATGTAAAACATATTTAAGTCCCGCCTGCCTAATTCAAACAATTTTAAATGTAGTTAGTCAAAGGATTTCTCGTTCATTACACAATATAAGCAATTTATACATTGATTGTACTTATCTAATATGTTTCTACACATTTATTTGCGAACTATTTTTAAAAAGTTTTACTAATTTCTTAAAATAATAATCTACGAAAATAAAAATTGTAATACAAATTACCGTTCAAAACTCAAAAATATTGTAACTCATCGTTTTTTTTACAAAATTGAAGTGACCAACGAAATAACAATCTACCTGATGGTAACTCCCGCAGCCCATGGACATACACAACCAACTTTTAAACAAAGGATGCTATGCGGTGCCATCACTGAGGACTAAGATGGAATGCTTCTCAGCTTATAATTATACTGGTTGTCTATAACATTTAGACCAGGATACGCCAGTGCAAGCACTTTTAATTGTTTCAGAAATAGGTAAGGGGGTGGTATTCATACAGACGGATTCTTCTGTAGAAAATGCGTCCTACCACCTAGTTATTTTATGATTATGAATTAACGAATATTATTTATACTTTATTAAGAAAATTTTATAACAGACCCACTTTATCTTCAAAGGCCAATTCCTCTGTAGTTATATTACTGCTATAGTTGCAAGTTTCACAGAATACCATCGTAAAATAGCAGCTTAACGCTGCTGTGTTTCGTATGGTAAGTGTAAAGAACCGGAGACCCTTTTTACTGCAAACGAAGTATTCCATCTTAGTTCTCACGGGTGACAATATATCTGCATTTTGATTCGTAATCGAGGACAGATGTAGATGTCTATGGGCGACAGTAACCACTTACCATCAGGTGGACTGTGTGCTCGTTTGAAAAGTTCTTATCGTGTAAAAAAAATCAACGAACGGGACTCGGATATGTTTATATTTACATGTTTAATTATATAAATTAGGACTATTAGGCAACTATTAAGGCAATAGAAAATTTAATAAAATCAGACTTTACATATATATTCTATAAATATACCTACCATGTAACAAACGAACATGCCGCTACTATCGCTACCCAATAACAACTGGAACACCGTAGAAATTTATTTATTTATTAAAAAAAAAAAAAACAGATAATAAAAAGACAGCCAATTTTTTTTTTTATAAAAAAAACCCAGCAGGAATAAAAACCAAAAAAAAAATGCAGGTACATTTCCGGCCTGTTTTATAAAACTGTAGGCACGAGTATAGGTTACGAATGGTATGGTACAAAATAATTATAGCAATACCTCATTAACTCCTCGAACAATAGCTCTCATAGTAGCATTCCTCGGGCCGTCCACAGTTCTCCCGTCATCCGTAGGCCCCCACGAAGCACTGTATATGTGAATCTTGTGAGGTTCGTGTCCCATAGAGTTTGCTTCTATTAGATCAGTCATGTACGGCTGGTCTAGCATTCTGATACCTGATTAAAACGGTAATTTATTTATTTATTTAAATCAACATAATTTATAAGGTTATTGTAATGTTTTCTATATTTTTTTTTAATATTCATTGACAAACGAACTTGCACTTCATTTAGTATATGTAATATCTGTTTTAATAAGCCACTTAGGCTTATTAAAACAGAAAACTTCCAACAAAAAAGTGTGTATTGTGTTTGTTACTCATTAGGACTAAGATGAATGCATTCCCCGTAACTCTTACCTCGTTGTGACTTAAGTCGACTGAGTTTTTCCTTAACAAATTGTGAAAACAAACTGTTCCCATAATAATATATAGGATACCATTGAACAAACACCCTATACGAAAGTTTATCGACCAAATTGGCAATATATTGAAGATCGGCCAAATTAAAAGTACCCCTAACCGACGAGCATGAATTCATAGGTATATGGATGTAATAGAAGGAGAAAGGTGTATCAGGATCGTACTAAATGAAATCCCTTAGACACAGAGAGGTAGGCGGAGCCTCTCTGTGTGACAGGCTTGAGTTCTTATAATTTTTTTAATTTAAAATATAAGAATCAAGCTGATATACAAAATAAAAAATTATAAACTATTAAATATTATTTTAATGGCTGTGGTCTATTAACTATAAACTTATATATGTAAGTTTACTTTATTGAATTCATATAAACATCTTGTTTATGTATTACTCATATTTAAGTATAATTTAAAATGTAACTTAAAAATGTAACTACTAAGATAATGATCAAGATGAAATATACTTTTACGAGTTGCCCGGGGCAAACGCCAGGCTTGCTAATAAGGTTTCAGATTACATTTTCCGTGTTCGGGCGTCCGAACGCACGCATTTCATACGAAAATTCTACACCGTGCACCCTTTTGCTTTATTTCTGCACGGAAATAATTCCTAATGTTCGGTTTCAGAAAGCATTCTTGGCATTCTGAATGCAGAACGAATATCATCCCAAAGCTACCCGACCGCAGCTCCCGCGTACATTTTGTGCTACCGCCACAAACGAATAGTTTTCACTGAGAATGCGTCAGTCGCTGCGCCTCGAGAATGTCGAACCCTCAGGGAGTAACATGAAACATTTATTTAAAAAAAAGAGCAAAATCTGTTTATATTTTGATTAGCTTTTTGTATTTTTGTAACGTAAAAGCATATACTTATACATGTGATAAAGGGGGAAAAAATTATAGTACTTAAGTTTTTAGTTTTGTATTACGTTGATCTATAGAGTAAATATGAGAAACAAGCACACAGTCTACCTGATGTTATGAGGATACTGTGGCCCAAAATATTTACATCTCATTTCGATTAAGAATCAAAGTGATGAGTTATCACCCATGAGGACTAAGATGGAATGCCATGTTTCTAATAAAAAAAGGTCTCCGGTTCTCACTCACAAATAGTATTAAGCTGCCATTTTATTGCACGCTGGTATTCTATGAGGGCGTTGTCCTTCCGCGGCTATAGCTGCAGCATAGCTCTACCACGTAAAAAAATTTTCTAATGAACTCTGAATGCAGTTTAATGAAATGAAATGCCAAAACATTATAAATTGCAATGAATTCATCCTCGTCAATATCAACATACGGGTCAAAGAAAGGGACGCTAAATGTATAACTGGCTGTACTAAATTCCTAATGGTAAGAAACGAATGTGTACGCTAGAATGACGGAATTTGTATTTAAATTCATGATAAGAAAAACTAATCAGACTACCTGCGTTTACGCCCAGTCTTAAAGATATTAAAGTCTATTGACGTAAGTTATTGATGGTGTTTTAAAAACATAATTATAACGGCTATCTTTTGCATGCAACTGGAACAATATAGTGGACGCATTATTACATCACAAAGGTATGTGGGTGCGGCAACTATACAGACATTGAGGTTCACTTTCCTTTCCGTTGTACAGCCACCCAATTCTGGCACTTGCTCCAGCACATCGTTCTCACCGGCATCACTTGCCAGTGCGTAGTACGGCATGCATTACACATCGGCATATCATTCGCACCGGTGTCACTTGCCCTTACGCACACAGCATGCATTCCCCACCGGCATTAAGGACGCACCGGCAATCAGACTGCACTATCGACCTCCGGTCTGAGCAGGGGGTGATGTGACGGCGCTGTCGTCGCGCCGCAAGCGAACACACCGAAGCCTAAATCACGCTATCAACATTCCGACTCATAAACAGCATATATAGAACATCTCCGAACTATCACACGGAGTGTTGGCCGCTCCCCGGGGCATAACACCTTGCCCGGCGGGAGATCTCCCCTTTTCCTTCCACGGCCACACGATCACACAATCCATGGTATGATGGTGGTGGTATGATGGTAAGTGGACGAAGTGATATCTATATTTATCCTCAATTAAGAAACAAAATGCAAATGCGTTGTCACCCCTGAAACCTAAAAATCTAAGATGGAATGCGTCGTCTCCAGAAGAGCCTCCGCCTCTCTACACCAACCAAAACAGCATTAAGTTGCTATTTTACGCTAGTATTCTATGAGAGTGTGGTTTTCCCCGGTCGAGCTGACCCTTTCGTGCAACAACCGCAACATACCTGTAACCACGTTTAAGCATGGCACTGCCAGGTATGGTATTAAAGAGATTCAAAATAAAAACTGTATAAAACAAGTTCATTAAATTTTTGATCTCTATTTCTATATATTTTAACAAACTTTTTCAAACCTTGGCAATAATGCGCAAGCTGGCACGAATTACTTGGAATATTACCTCACTCACCACGCTAGGCGAGCATGGCTTGCATTTGTCCTTCCATCCGATTAAATTTAAGACAAGAGTGAAAAGGCTTTTGTTAAGTCAGAGCGCTTTACTATCTTTGTCTACATCGTCCCTTATCATCAGCACTGGCTTATATTACGTAAAATATATTTATAGTCACCTATTTCTGTTTTGTTGTTAATTTTAGAACGATTTATTTGTAAAAATATTTTATAAACATATTTTTTACTAATAACAATGGTAGAGTTTTAACAGTGGTAGAACCACGCAGCAGCCTTTGCTGTTGCACGTATGGACCGGCTCAAACCGGGGTGGTAACACTACTTTACAGAAGACCGGCGTGAAGTAGAAGTTTTGCTTCTGTATTTCGTCTGGTGAGTGCAAGTGGTCGGAGGCCCAATCCCCCCTCCCTTGAAATGGTAGCGGAATTAAGTAAAGATCTACCCCAGGAGGGTACCAGCACCCCTGGAGAATCCCTCGCTGAGCATTACGACAAAGTTACTCCACTCCTGAGCGTGGGTGCTCAGGCTGCCCCGCGTATTCTGGGGGGGGGGTAATATTCCGCTCAAGACAACAACTGCTCGGGGCAAACTGAGCAACAAGGCCTAGGCGACCCCTGCTACGCTATCCGTGAATTTCTGCGATATCAGAGGACTTCATTCTTACCTAAACGCCGTCCACTATCATCTCGAGACGGTGAGGCCGGCTCTGCTCTTTCTGACCGAGACGCAAGTGTCATCTCTGGCTGATTCTTCGTATTTCTCCTACCCAGGGTACAAACTGGAATACTCCTTTGTGCCCCGGGCTGGAGTTTGCGTGTACGTCAAAGAGGACATCTGTTTTCGACGCCTCGGAAGCCTTAAAAGTACGGACCTGCTTATAGCTACACGTAGACAGCGACGACTATCACCGCGTCTACGGGTACCTATATAGGTCCCATAGCGGTAATGCCAAAACAGACCGACTGATCTACCACGTCCAGATGGCTGCAGACTCCGTGCTACAACAGGTCCAATCCGCAAAGATCGTGATAATTGGTGATTTTAACGCCCACCATGCTGAATGGCTTGGTTCTCGTTTCACCGATCTTGCGGGTAGATATGTTTATGACTTTTCTTCTGCATATGGTCTGACACAACTGGTTATCTTGCATACGCGGATCCCAGATATGAAGGATCATGTACCTTCCCTGTTGGACCTTCTGCTGATCACTCATCTGGACGGATACCAGGTCTCTGTCGATGCCCCTCTGGGCTCCTCGGAATATTTTCTGATCCGGAGTACGGTGCCACTCACGCTCCAATTGCGGTTTCGTACTGCAGGTTGCCGCCGTGTTCGGCATTTAGGTCAGCCGATTGGGACAGGATGCGATCTTTTTTTGCATCCTACCCTTGGAGTCGGGTTTGCTTCTCGCCGGATGATCCCAGCATTGTTGCTATTTTGTCACTGATGTGGTGCTACAGGGAATGAAACTATTTATACCATCATCTGTGGTATTTATCGGAGGCAGAACCCAGCCTTGGTTTGGTCGCTCCTGCAAAATTGCATTACATCATAAGAGGATTCGCGCATCGACGTCTCGAGATGTAAATACCAGCGTTCTTAAAAAGAAGTATAATTCTGCTTTCAAGGCAAAGTCAGAGCGCGTCGGCATAATTGGCGAGAAACTTGTTCGTCTTCCTTCGGGAACACGTGCATTCTGGTCTCTCGCCAAGACTGTCTAAGGGAACTTCTGCCAGCCATCTCTTCCATCTCTGCACAGGGATGATGACTCACTGGCCAATGCCGCAAAGGACAAAACCGATATACTGGGTTTTTTCTTTACGTCCAACTCGACTCTTGATGAAGGGAAAACACACCACCGACCATCCCGCAGTGTGAGTGCTCCATGCAGGATGTGCTGTTTCCTCAATACTCGGTGCGCAGAGCACTCCTTTCCCTCAACATCAACAAGTGAGTGGGCCTGATGGCGTCCCTCCTATTGTGTTGAAGACGTGTGCTTCGGAGTTGGCACTGGTCTTAACGCGTCTTTTTCGGTACTCTAACTCCCTAAAAGGAGTCCCGAAATCATGGAAGGCATTCTTCGTGCACCTGATCCCTAAAAAAGGTAACCGTTTTGGTCCGTCCAACTATAAGCCTATTGCCATCACCTCCTTGTTCTCTAAAATAATGGAATCTATTATTAACAGCCAGCTCATGCGGTACCTTGAGGATCACCAGCTGATTAGTTATTAATTAG